TCAATATGGAGATCCACTCGATGGACGTCTCTAACGCCTTCCTCCAAGGCGTCCTCCGCGAGCTTATCTACATGGAGCGTCCTGCCGGTTTTCACCTTCCCTTCCCTGCGGACTCTGTCTGGCAGCTGCGTCGCCCTGTGTATGGGCTCCGACAGGCCCCGAGGGAGTGGCATGCTAAGCTTGCCGCCACCCTTGCTGAACTTGGATTCCGCACCTCCCGTTCTGACGCCAGCCTCTTCCTCCGCGCCTCCCCCTCCCCCTTCTACATCCTTGTCTATGTCGATGACATGATTCTACTCACTGCCGACCTCAGCGAGTTGGAGCGTGTTAAGGCTGAGTTGGGCAGCCGTCTCAAGTGCAAGGACTTGGGCGAATTGCAGCATTACCTGGGCATGACAATCACCCGCGATCGCTCCGCCCGCACCATCTCTCTCTCCCAGGGTCATTACTTGCAGCAGGTCTTGGAGCGGTTTGACATGGTCCGCGGCGGCGCCCAACCTACTCCTCTTTCTGTCGGGCACCACCTCTCTCCACCCACCTCCCCCTCAGCCTCCTCCCATCCTTATCCCGAGCTCATCGGCTCCCTCATGTACGCCATGGTCTCCACTCGCCCTGACCTTGCCTACCCCATCAGCGTCCTCGCTCGTTTTGTTGGCGCAGGCAAGCATACGGAAGAGCACTGGCAGGCCGCCAAGCGTGTCCTCCGGTACCTTCGTGGCACCAAGGACTATGTCCTTACTTTCGGCGGCCCCTCCCCACCTACTCTCAGCGGCTACAGTGACTCCTCCTGGGCTGATTCCCAGCCAGATCGTCGCTCCTCCCAGGGCTATGGCTTCTCTCTTGGCAGCGGCCTTATCAGCTGGCGCTCCACCCGCTCCTCGGCTGTCGCCCTCTCCTCCTGCGAGGCGGAGTTGTATGCCGCCACCATGGCTGCGCAAGAGGCCCGCTGGCTCACCTTCCTCCTTGAGGAACTTGGTGCCCCCCAGCGCTGTCCCACCATTTGGTGTGACAATGCCAGTACCATTCACCTCACCAAAGATGCCGTGTTTCACGGGCGTTCCAAGCACATTGAGCTCCGTCATTTCTTCATTCGCGATCTTGTTCAGGCGGGGCACCTTCGGCTCGACAAGGTTGACTCGGCGGCCAACCTTGCCGACATCTTCACAAAAGCTCTTCCTCATGTCGCTCACTCTTTCCTACTTCGTCTTCTTGGCCTCACTCCTCCTAAGTCGCCTCCCGCCTCTTGATTCTAGCCTTCTAGCCTTATGCATGTTGGGGGGTTGTGTTGTAATTTCATAATTTGTACAACATACATAGGCTAGAATTAGATCTGTAGTACACTTATAAATTGGGGGGTTGTTTAGTGTACCCTCCAACCACATTTTGTGGTTGGTTGGGATTGGTCCCTAGCTCAACCAATCCCAACCAACACACATTTGTGGTTGCTTGGGTCACAAGCAAGCTCACCCATTGGCCAACTTATTGGCCAATAGGGTAAGCTTCCCTTTCATCTCTCTCTTGCTCATTGTTTGTACTAAAGGGCCTCTTGGCTCATTATTCAATGTATCTCTTCTAGCTTTTCAACAAGAGAGGGGAGGGTGAGAGAGAGGGGAGGGTGGGAGAGAGGGGAGGGTGGGAGAGAGGGGAGGGTGGGAGAGAGGGGAGGGTGGGAGAGAGGGGAGGGTGGGAGAGAAGGGGAGGGTGGGAGAGAAGGGGAGGGTGGGAGAGAGGGGAGGGTGGGAGAGAGGGGAGGGTGGGAGAGAGGGGAGGGTGGGAGAGAGGGGAGGGTGGGAGAGAGGGAGGGTGGGAGAGAGGGGAGGGTGGGAGAGAGGGGAGGGTGGGAGAGAGGGGAGGGTGGGAGAGAAGGGGAGGGTGGGAGAGAGGGGAGGGTGGGAGAGAGGGGAGGGTGGGAGAGAGGGGAGGGTGGGAGAGAAGGGGAGGGTGGGAGAGAGGGGAGGGTGGGAGAGAAGGGGAGGGTGGGAGAGAGGGGGAGGGTGGGAGAGAAGGGGAGGGTGGGAGAGAGGGGAGGGTGGGAGAGAGGGGAGGGTGGGAGAGAGGGGAGGGTGGGAGAGAGGGGAGGGTGGGAGAGAGGGGAGGGTGGGAGAGAGGGGAGGGTGGGAGAGAGGGGAGGGTGGGAGAGAGGGGAGGGTGGGAGAGAAGGGGAGGGTGGGAGAGAAGGGAGGGTGGGAGAGAAGGGGAGGGTGGGAGAGAAGGGGAGGGTGGGAGAGAGGGGAGGGTGGGAGAGAAGGGGAGGGTGGGAGAGAGGGGAGGGTGGGAGAGAAGGGAGGGTGGGAGAGAGGGGAGGGTGGGAGAGAGGGGAGGGTGGGAGAGAGGGGAGAGAGGGGAGGGTGGGAGAGAGGGGAGGGTGGGAGAGAGAGGAGGGTGGGAGAGAGGGGGAGGGTGGGAGAGAGGGGAGGGTGGGAGAGAAGGGGAGGGTGGGAGAGAGGGGAGGGTGGGAGAGAAGGGGGGTGGGAGTGGGAGAGAGGGGAGGGGAGGGTGGGAGAGAAGGGAGGGTGGGAGAGAGAGGGGGAGGGTGGGAGAGAGGGGAGGGTGGGAGAGAGGGGAGGGTGGGAGAGAGGGGAGGGTGGAAGAGAAGGGGGGAGGGTGGGAGAGAAAGGGGAGGGTGGGAGAGAAGGGGAGGGTGGGAGAGAGGGGAGGGTGGGAGAGAGGGAGGGTGGGAGAGAGGGGAGGGTGGGAGAGAGGGGAGGGTGGGAGAGAAGGGGAGGGTGGGAGAGAGGGGGGAGGGTGGGAGAGAGGGGAGGGTGGGAGAGAGGGGAGGGTGGGAGAGAGGGGAGGGTGGGAGAGAGGGGGGTGGGAGAGAGGGGAGGGTGGGAGAGAGGGGAGGGTGGGAGAGAAGGGGAGGGTGGGAGAGAAGGGGAGGGTGGGAGAGAAGGGGGAGGGTGGGAGAGAAGGGGAGGGTGGGAGAGAGGGGAGGGTGGGAGAGAGGGGAGGGTGGGAGAGAGGGGAGGGTGGGAGAGAGGGGAGGGTGGGAGAGAGGGAGGGTGGGAGAGAAGGGGAGGGTGGGAGAGAAGGGGAGGGTGGGAGAGAAGGGGAGGGTGGGAGAGAAGGGGAGGGTGGGAGAGAGGGGAGGGTGGGAGAGAAGGGGAGGGTGGGAGAGAAGGGGAGGGTGGGAGAGAGGGGAGGGTGGGAGAGAGGGGAGGGTGGGAGAGAGGGGAGGGTGGGAGAGAGGGGAGGGTGGGAGAGAGGGGAGGGTGGGAGAGAGGGGAGGGTGGGAGAGAAGGGGAGGGTGGGAGAGAGGGGAGGGTGGGAGAGAGAGGGAGGGTGGGAGAGAGGGGAGGGTGGGAGAGAGGGGAGGGTGGGAGAGAGGGGAGGGTGGGAGAGAGGGGAGGGTGGGAGAGAGGGGAGGGTGGGAGAGAGGGGAGGGTGGGAGAGAGGGGAGGGTGGGAGAGAAGGGGAGGGTGGGAGAGAAGGGGAGGGTGGGAGAGTGGGGAGGGTGGGAGAGAGGGGAGGGTGGGAGAGAGGGGAGGGTGGGAGAGAAGGGAGGGTGGGAGAGAGGGGAGGGTGGGAGAGAGGGGAGGGTGGGAGAGAGGGGAGGGTGGGAGAGAGGGGAGGGTGGGAGAGAAGGGGAGGGTGGGAGAGAACGGGAGGGTGGGAGAGAAGGGGAGGGTGGGAGAGGAGAGAAGGGGAGGGTGGGAGAGAGGGGAGGGTGGGAGAGAGGGGAGGGTGGGAGAGAGGGGAGGGTGGGAGAGAAGGGAGGGTGGGAGAGAGGGGAGGGTGGGAGAGAGGGGAGGGTGGGAGAGAGAGGGGAGGGTGGGAGAGAAGGGGAGGGTGGGAGAGAGGGGAGGGTGGGAGAGAAGGGGAGGGTGGGAGAGAAGGGGAGAGAGGGGAGGGTGGGAGAGAGAGAAGGGGAGGGTGGGAGAGAGGGGAGGGTGGGAGAGAGGGGAGGGTGGGAGAGAAGGGGAGGGTGGGAGAGAGGGGAGGGTGGGAGAGAAGGGAGGGTGGGAGAGAGGGGAGGGTGGGAGAGAGGGGAGGGTGGGAGAGAGGGGAGGGTGGGAGAGAGTGGAGGGTGGGAGAGAAGGGGAGGGTGGGAGAGAGGGGAGGGTGGGAGAGAAGGGGAGGGTGGGAGAGAGGGGAGGGTGGGAGAGAAGGGAGGGTGGGAGAGAGGGGAGGGAGGGTGGGAGAGAGGGGAGGGTGGGAGAGAGGGGGAGGGTGGGAGAGAGGGGAGGGTGGGAGAGAGGGGAGGGTGGGAGAGAAGGGGAGGGTGGGAGAGAGGGGAGGGTGGGAGAGAAGGGGAGGGTGGGTGAGAAGGGGAGGGTGGGAGAGTGGGGAGGGTGGGAGAGAGGGGAGGGTGGGAGAGAGGGGAGGGTGGGAGAGAGGGGAGGGTGGGGAGAGAGGGGAGGGTGGGAGAGAGGGGAGGGTGGGAGAGAGGGGAGGGTGGGAGAGAGGGGAGGGTGGGAGAGAGGGGAGGGTGGGAGAGAAGGGGAGGGTGGGAGAGAACGGGAGGGTGGGAGAGAAGGGGAGGGTGGGAGAGAAGGGGAGGGTGGGAGAGAGGGGAGGGTGGGAGAGAGGGGAGGGTGGGAGAGAGGGGAGGGTGGGAGAGAAGGGAGGGTGGGAGAGAGGGGAGGGTGGGAGAGAGGGGAGGGTGGGAGAGAGGGGAGGGTGGGAGAGAAGGGGAGGGTGGGAGAGAGGGGAGGGTGGGAGAGAAGGGGAGGGTGGGAGAGAAGGGGAGAGAGGGGAGGGTGGGAGAGAAGGGGAGGGTGGGAGAGAAGGGGAGGGTGGGAGAGAGGGGAGGGTGGGAGAGAAGGGGAGGGTGGGAGAGAAGGGGAGGGTGGGAGAGAAGGGGTTGCAAGTTGGAAGAAGAGGGGTGTGGGAGAGGAAAAGAGCTGATGCCGCACGGCAAGGCAAGGCAGTGGTGAAAGGCAATCTCCAAGGGAACCCGCATGAACGTGCAAGACCCCAACACCATGACCGTGCAAGGCCCCAACACCCTGACCGTGCAAGGCCCCAACACCCTGACCGTGCAAAGCCCCAACACCCACCTTCCACTGCACCGCCCTGTGCTTCTCACTGCCTCCCTCCTTCCCCTTGCCTCCTCCCTTTCTCCCTTTCTCCTCCCCCTCCTCCCCATCCCCTGCAATCGGCTGTTCCAACACTTGTGCCGCGCTCTGCGCAAAGGCGCACAGACGCTCCAGAGCCTGAGGGTACAGGAGGGGCAAACAAGACGCAGGGGCAGAGGGGGAGGGGTCAGGGGTGGGTGAGCATGACGAGGCAGTTACACCTCTAGGCTCTAACCTGAGATCCTCCCTTTCTCCCTCCTTCCTCCCCTCCTCCTCCCCCCTCCTCCTCCTTCTCTCCCCCCTCCCCCTCGCCTGTGATCAGCTGTGACAGCTCCTGTGCTGCATTCCGGGCAAAGGCGCACAGACGCTCCAGCGCCTGAATGAATGAATGGGATGGAGGGGCACATGAGAAGCACAAGGGCACAGAGGGAGGGGGGACAAGGAAATGGCGGCACAGGGAGGGAAGGAATGTGGGATAGCAGTGGGTAAGCATTCATGAGAATTCTACAGACTTCCTCCTGCCATCACAGTGGGGGATGGTATGGTTTGGTGTGGTGTGGTGTGGTGTGGTGTGGTGCAGTCTCGTGTGGTGTGGTGTGGACAAGCCATGATAAGGCCTTCCTCTTGCCATCACCATGGTCAGTGTCCGCAACGAAGACTCAAAAACCCATCCTTCGGAGTTGAAAATCTTCAGGACCAAAATCAAACAGTGACCACTCACAGAAAACGATTTTTGAGGCGCCTCAAAAACGACTAGCAGAAACGAGGGATTACTGCCACGTCACCTCAACGGACGGTCCATGATGTGTCCACATGGCGCCGTCACGATCGTACGGCGTGGCGATGCACATGGCGGGGCGCCGCTCCTTCTCCCCCTCGCCCTCCTTCCCTCCCTCTGCCGCGCTCTGCTTGAGCCGCTTTGCCACGCTGCGTGCTGAACTGCCAAGGGTGTCTCTGTGGGGTGGTAGGCGCTCGTCAAAACGAGCCTGGTGGGGAGGGATGGTGGGTTTGGGGGGGGATGTGAGAATGGAGGGGAGAGGATGAAGAGGTGATTCGCCCTCCTTCCCCTCCTCCACTGCGCTCTGCTTGAGTTGCTTTGCCACGCTGCGCGCTGAGCTGCCAAGTGGTTGGTTGGTGGTACTGTGGTGGTACTGTTCCTAGCGCTTGCATCTGTCTGAATTTTCACCTGGATCTGCTGCACGTCTTCAGGAGAGAAGGCACTGTTCACGTCCACTATGAGCGGCTGCGACAGCCAATCGTACGACGCCACGAGGCGGAAGAACCTGCCACGTGTGCAGGCAATGCGAGGAAGGGGGGGGGGGGGGGAAGGGGAGAGAGGAGATGATCTGACGGCAGTGAGGAGAATGGTGTTGGTGATGTCATTAACGGTGGCACAGAGCTGACGTCAGCGTAATATTGTGGCGATGCTGTGCCACGATGGAAGTAAGAGGGCCGGGATTGAGAAGAGGGGATGGCGGCAGCTGGCAAGACATGGCAAAGCATGATGTGGGGAAGAGGGAGAAGGTAGGAAGGGGAGGATAGGCAGAAACAAAGCAGTAGCACATAACAACCGCGACATGTGCCATAGAAACAAGATAACTTTTGAGTCGACTCGAAAGTCTGTAGAACATAAGCGTGCCAACAAAGCACCACCTGCTTTGGCGTGGTTACTGCTTTCCCATTCCCTGCTGCCCTTCAGCTGAAAATACAGCTGCTGTTTCACCTGAGCGAACATCTGCTTTTTCACCTGAGCAGGCCAGCGAGTCTTGACTTGGGGGCAGGCAGCAGCAGGGGGTTGGGGGCAACGAGGGTGTGAGCGACCAGCAGCTCCACCGCCTCCTCCTTGAGGTGCGACGAGAAGAGGTGAGCTGCAACCCACCGCTTTGCAAGCCTGAGTACGAGAGAGGAGGGACGGCGTAGGGGCCAGGGGAAGGGGAAGTAGAGAAAAAAAAGGGAGTGGGAGCGGTGTGGGTGTGCGCAACCAGCAGCTCCACACCCTCCTCCTTGAAGTGTGATGAAAAGAGGTGGCTTGCAAGCCACCGCTTGGCTAGCCTGGCTTGCATAGGCGGAGGGCAGGTAGAGGTAGGGAAAGGAGGGATGGGAGCGGTGAAAGTGTGTGGCACCAGCTGCTCCACCGCCTCCTCCTTCATGTGCGCTGCGATGAGAAGAGGTGAGCCGCCACCCACCGCTTGGCTAGCCTGGCGTGAGCATTCACATGAAAGATGGAAGAGGGGAAGGAAGGAGTAGGAGAGGGTGGGCGCCATCAGCAGCATCCCCTTGATAAGAACCACTTATATCAGCACCACGGCACACAGCAATCACCTGGCGATGGAGCAGGATGGCGGTTGGTGAGTCCGTTGAGTTGAGAGTGCGGTGGTGCTGCAATGCCATCCCCACTATTATCATCATCATCACAACCATCACCCATGCCATCACCACCTGCACTCAACCATCACCACCTGCACTCAACCATCACCACCTGCACTCAACCATCACCACCTGCACTCAACCATCACCACCTGCACTCAACCATCACCACCTGCACTCAACCATCACCACCTGCACTCAACCATCACCACCTGCACTCAACCATCACCACCTGCACTCAACCATCACCACCTGCACTCAACCATCACCACCTGCACTCAACCATCACCACCTGCACTCAACCATCACCACCTGCACTCAACCATCACCACCTGCACTCAACCATCACCACCTGCACTCAACCATCACCACCTGCACTCAACCATCACCACCTGCACTCAACCATCACCACCTGCACTCAACCATCACCACCTGCACTCAACCATCACCTTGCAATGGGGCCAAAGGTGGGGTGGCGGCCGGTGAGCCCGTTGAGCGTGCTGTGGTGCTGCAGCGTGCGATGAGTCTCGGAGAAGGCGGAAGGGGAGGCAGGGAGCGCGGCGAGGGGCGCGGGTGTGTGACGATGGGAGTGAGGGAGAACGAGGGGTTGGAGGAGGTGACGTCTTCGGCTGGTGGGACTGGCGGGATGGGAGGGAAGGGAGGGAAGGCGTGAAGAGGAATGATATGATATGTGTCAAGTAGCTTATGCGAGAGAGAGAAATCGGGATAGATTTCAGTGCATGATTTGATGACAATGGGCATTTGGAAGGACCATTCCTGACAGGCATCTAAGGGCGCGTAACTTATTCACTTTCCATCGTCCGGACGGACGCCCCGTCCGGAATTTTGTAAGGTTATAGATTTTGTGAAATTTCGTCAACAACATCGCGAGATCCCTAGCGACGTCGCAAGCGACCGGACGGAATTTGTCACGTTTCTGTCACTGCATGGTCCGTTCTACCTTGCTAACACCGTCCGGACAGCATTTTGGACCGTCCGTTTTGCATGCGCTGTCATTGGCGCGCGAAGAGGGTGAAAACTTCAACCAACATCAGGCCGCTGATTTTTTTGTGGGGAGTGCTGTACGATGTTTGTAATGCTTGTTACATTTGGTCAATTTTCGAAAATGCAAAAAGTTCCATATGTGTGGTCGGGACGGGCTGTCGTCCAGACCTGAGTCCCAAGCGTCCGGACGGAGCTCTGTCCGGACGGTTTGGAAGCATTGTCCGGACTTTGGACGGAAACGGGAAAGTTATGCGCCCTAACTCCCAAACACATCTGATGACCAAGCCATGCTTGCTCTCCCATCATAGCCACGCATCCATACTACCATAGTCATGCTGCTGCGCATCATGGCACGACACAGCATACCATCTCACCTTAGTCAAGCATCACACCATAGCCATGCATCATGTCATACCATGGCCCAGCCCACCATAGTCATGCATGTCATGCCATGCCATGTCCCACCATAGTCATGCATGTCATGCCATGCCATGTCCCACCATAGTCATGCATGATGCAACGCCATCTCACCATAGCCATGCCATTCTATGGCCCACCATAGTCATGCAGCAGCACGAGGCGGAAGGCGAATCCATCAACCATCACATCCACGGCGCCCCTCGCTGCCTCCACTGCCACTCCATGTGCCTCCTGCAGACTGAATTGAGGTGAGAGGGGTGAACGGGAGGTGTGGGGGAATTGAGGGATGGAGGATGGGTTGGGAAAGGGCAGAAGGCAAAGCCATAGAGCATCACATCCACAGCGCCCCATGCTGCCTGCCTCCACCTCCACAACATGTGCTCCCCTCAGGCTGCCATGCGAAGCGAACGGTGAACGGAAGGAACGGAGTGTGGGAGGTAATGGAATGTGGGCGGGGAAAGGACAGAAAGCAAATCCTCTTAGCATCACATTCAGCACTTGTTGCTGCCTCCAGTGCAACCTGTGTGAGGAATAAGGGTTTAGGAGCAAGGAGTGAGGGAAGGCGATCAGCAAATTGAGGAACATGGGGTCCTAGGACGAACGGACGGACCCATCTAAGGCCACAACCACCATCGATACCTCTCACTGCCTCCAGCTGGCTCGTCTGCCAACAGCTCAACTGATCCACTCTCATCCCCACCACATGCCACCCAACTTCACGACATGCCACCCTACCTGACCGCATGCCACCCAACCCAACCGCATGCCACCCAGCCCCACCGCATGCCACCCAGCCCCAACGCATGCCAGTCCTTCCAGGCGGCCCCACCTGCTGGCGATCTGCAGGCAGAAGGCGTGGCGCGTGAGGCGCAGCGCCTCGGGATCATCGGGCCACTTGCTGGACGCCTCCAGCTGGGGGGGGGAGAGAGGGGAGGGGGAGAGGGCGGAGGGGGAGGGCGGAGGGGGAGAGGGCGGAGGGGGAGGGCGGAGGGAGGGCGGAGAGGGGAGATGGCGGAGGGGGGAGAGGGCGGAGAGGGGAGAGGGCGGAGGGGGGAGAGGGCGGAGAGGGGAGAGGGCGGAGAGGGGAGAGGGCGGAGAGGGGAGAGGGCGGAGAGGGGAGACGGCGGAGAGGGGAGAGGGCGGAGGGAGAGGGGGAGAGGGCGGAGAGGGGAGAGGGCGGAGAGGGGAGAGGGCAGAGGGTGAGGAAGGAGGGTGGAGTGGGAGGGGAGAGGAAGCAGTGAGAGTAGTGACACGTGGCGGCACATGACTGAAAGCTTCTCCAGCGGACCGACGGATCACCGCAGCACTCGGCAACTGGTTACAGGTGAGTGGAAGGGATGAAGCGCAGTGCTGGTGGGAGCAGAGGTCAACTGGTACTGGTGGGAGCAGAGGTCAACTGGTACTGGTGGGAGCAGAGGTCAACTGGTACTGGAGTATCCACAACAGCGTTACATGCCCGCCCCTCTCCCCACTATTACTCCTCCCCATGCACGTCCTCTATGCCTGTCATACACTCTCGCCCCTCTTCCCTGCTCTCTTTCCCTCCCCCTCTCTCTCACCTGCACCGCCACGGGCATGGGGTCCACACAGCGTGGCCGCATACCTTCCTCTGACCTCTCTACCCCACCGCCCAGCTCTCAAGAGTTCCAAAATGGCCTCCACGCTCGGCCCTTCTCCCCCACCCCCCCCCCCCTCACCTGCACGGCCACAGGCACGGGGTCCACACAGCGCCGCCACACGCCCTCCCCCTCTGCTGGCCCCCCTGCAGTGGGCGGTGGGCAGGGTGACGGGGGGAAGGCCGCTGCTCCCCTCGTGGCTGCGGGGGGGGGGAAAGGATGGAGAAGAGAATGAGGGGGAAAACAGCAAGAACAAACATGGAAGGGAAAGAGGCTGAGAAGAAGCTCGGGACATTGCATTGCGTGTGATGAAGGGCAGCTCTGCTCCTCGTGATACAAGCAAGGTGGAGGCACGGATGGGGAGGGCATGGATGGGGGGCGGGAGAGGCAAGCACCCACCGGGGGAGAGGGAGTGCACCCACCGGGGGAGAGGGAGTGCACCCACCGGGGGAGAGGGAGTGCACCCACCGGGGGAGAGGGAGTGCACCCACCGGGGGAGAGGGAGTGCACCCACCGGGGGAGAGGGAGTGCACCCACCGGGGGAGAGGGAGTGCAGGGCGACGACAGAGAGTGGCAGGTCAGGCAGCTGGCGCAGCAGCGACGCCAGGCGCTCAAAGGCTGCGCTCAGCGCTGAGGCTGATGATGCCGGATCTGTAGGCGGGATGGCAGTCATAGGAGTGGTGAGGCGGGGGGAGGGAGGGGGGGGGGGGAGAGGCAACAATGGCAAGGTGCACACAGAGTTTAGGGTGTAGGAATTAGGGTTTTTGTTAAAGGCTTAGGGTTGCCAGCTTGGCCAGAGATGCTCCAAGGCTACAGTGAGACGAGGGGTGTGGTTGCAAGGGGTGTGGTTGCAAGGGGTGTGGTTGCAAGGGGTGTGGTTGCAAGGGGTGTGGTTGCAAGGGGTGTGGTTGGTTGCATTGCACTGCAGAGACGAACGATTGCATTGTACGATGTGGTTCAAGAGGGATGCACGCTGCTGAGAGAGTGGTAGGGAAGGAAGAGGTAGAGAAGTTAACACACATCAATCAGCTTTTGAGTCGACTCAAAGGTAGAGAAGTTAACACACATCGATCAAAGCATTGTCATGAATAACACTCACGGACGTTCAATGCACTCTGCCAGTAACCCCATCCAATCCCAGCCATCCCATCCCATCCCATCCCATCCCATCCCATCCCATCCCATCCCATCCCATCCCATCCCATCCCATCCCATCCCATCCCGTCCCATCTCACCACATCAAACCACAGCACAGCACACCCACACGCGCGCAACTCTCCCCACAACGCACCCTTGCCCGCCACCTGAAGCGCGAAGTCCAGCTGCCCTGCAGCCACGCGCACAGCGCCCTCGTCCACCCCCAGGTGGCGCTGCAGGGCGAAGCTGATGAGGCGCGCTGGGATGAGATGGCGCTCTGTTGAAGGGGCTTCCCATGCTGCAGGGGGAGACACAGCGGGGAGAAGGATGGTACGGTGTGGGAGAGAGGGAGAGTAAGGAGATGTAAGTGAGAGAGCTGCCTTCGTCCATCCCCAGGTGGCACTGATAGAAGCTGATGAGGCGCGACGGGATGAGATGGCGTGATGTCGGTCAAGGCGGCCTCCCATGCTGCTGCGGGGGAACAGGGGAGAGGGGTAGGGCAGCGGGAAGGTAGAGCACCAGGTGGATGAATGCATACAAAGGCAGAGCAGGCGGAGAGCAAAGGCAAACAAGTGCGCTGAGAAGCTCTCCCCAGGGCTTCTCTTTGCTCTTCCCAGGGCCGTTGGTGCTTTCCCCCAGGCTCCTAGCCCACCAACGGCCACAGTGGTGCTTCTCCTCTTTAGTGCGTGGCCAGTGTTCAGTACCGCTGAACCACTGTGATGTGATGTCATGTGATGTGATGTGATGTGACGTGACGTGACGTGACGTGACGTGACGTGACGTGACGTGACGTGACGTAACGTGACGTGATGTGATGTGATGTGATGTGATGTGATGCGATGTGATGCCATGTCATGTCATGCCATGCCATGCCATGCCATGTCATGTCATGTCATGTCATGTCATGTCATGTGATGTGATGTGTTGAGATGTGATGTGATGTGATGTCATGTCATATCATGTCATGTGTTTTTATGTGATGTGATGTCATGTGATGTGATGTCATGTCATGTCATGTCATGTGATGTCATGTCATGTCATGTCATGTCATGTCATGTCATGTCATGTGCATCCTCCAGCAGCTTCATGCTCTGAGGTTAAGCCTGTAAAAACGAATACGAATACGAATACGAATATTTTTTTCTGAATATTCTCCGAATACTGTGCGGTTTCTTATTTGATCGAATACTGACCCAAAATCGAATACGAATACGATTCGAATATTGGCCCAAAACTGAATACGAATACGATTCGAATACTGCCGAATCCGAATCGAATACGATTAAGTGTCGAACGGCTAATGCATTATGCACGTTCGACACAGGGTGATACAATGCACCTTATACTACCAACACCACGACTCAATCTCACACCACGCGCTTTCCCTAACCCCTCTCCAGCTACTTTATTGCAAGGCTCTCAGCAAGCCTCTCAGATGATAGCCGGATATAGGGAAAGTATGAGGGGGGGTTAATGGTAGAATACCGAATAGTAACGAATACCTCGAATATTCGTTACACGAATATTCTATATTCACGAATACCCGTGATGCGAATATTTTCGAATACACGGTAGTTTCTTATTCTCTCGAATTCAGATATTCGAACGAATATCAAATAGTTCTCGAATACCAAATATTCTTTTACAGGCTTATCTGAGGTACCCCAAACCCACTCTCACTGCCTCTCCCTCCGCCTCAATGCACCCCTCTCCACCGCACAGAGTGCACGCACCAACGGCCTCAGTGATGGTGCCGTCCTTCCAGCGTCTCAGCTCCGCCTTGGGGCCCCAGAAGGTGCGGAACTTGAGCGCCTGGAGGACGGGGGACGAGGGGAGAGGGGTGAGTGGCGAGTGGGGAGTGGGGAGGGGGTAAGGGGAGGGGAGAAGGTGGGGAAGGGAGTGGCGTATTTGCGGGGACTTAGTTGCAACGTTGGTCCTGGGTGCTTGGGGAGAGGAGAAAGCCAAGGTGGCAGATGCGGGTAAGGGTGACAAACCCAAGGGGGCCTTTGTGGAATGCGATTCCGAGCCAGTTAAAGAAATCATACCAGCCGCATGCACGTGCCCAGCAGCAGCAGCCCAAAGCAATCACCCTTACCTAACTGCACTCACCTCGGCCTTATTGTCAGCGCTGGGGCCCTTGTCCACGAGGCGCAGGGCGGTGTCAGGCGATGCCAGCGACACTCCAATCAACACAGGCGCGCTGTCCAGTGCTGGCAGGCCCTGCGGGGAGAGCAATGAGGGGACGGGACGGTGGGGGGACAGTGACGGAGACGAGACGCAGAGCGGTATTGGGCGACGCCAGCAACACCCCAATCAGCACAGGCGCGCTGTCCAGAGGCGCGCTGTCCAGAGGCGCGCTGTCCAGAGGCGCGCTGTCCAGAGGCGCGCTGTCCAGAGACGCGCTGTCCAGAGGCGCGCTGTCCAGTGCTGGCAAGGCGTGAAGAGGGGAGGGGAGAAGATGGGGCTGCAATGATGAGGAGATGGTAAGGAAGCAATGAGAGTCATGGGTGAGCATAACAATGTCAAAACACAGCATACGTCCCAAAGCGACACTCCTACTAGCACAGTAGGCACGAGCACCGTGCATGCACAACACGCCTACTATGTGTCAAGCACACCGCACCGCACCGAGAGACGGCATGCCGCGTAGGATGGTGGAGAGGGGCGAAAGTGGCAGAGTGGCATGTTGAGAGGGCAATGGGGTTCGGAGCAGAGGCGAACCACGGCTTGCTCTGTGGTGACATGACACGGGAAGTGGGTAGAGGCGACTCGCCCTCCCCTGAATTTTTTAAATTAAATTGCACTTTTGATAAAACGATATAAACGCTCAATGTAAGAGCATTAAAAAAAAAAAAAAAAAAAAAAAAAAAAAACACCAGTTCATCCCTGTTTCTTATTCAGCACCACACGCACCTGAGCTGCCTCCCTCACAGAAGCACCTGAGGCACCTGAAGCACCCTCACAGCCACAGCCACGGCCCTCTCCCCATGCCCCTAGCTAGGCATGAGCATCCCGCCCCGGCGGGTCGGGTCGACCCGACCCGACCCGGGTTTTGACCCAGGTCGGGTCAGGAGTTCTGAACCGCTGACCCGGCCGGGTCGGGTCGGGTATACCCGGCCGGGTCGGGTCGACTCGTGACCCGATTCCGGGTCGGGTCGGGTTTTGACCCGATATGAACCCGACCCGGTTTCGGGTACCGCGCCCTATGTCGGGTCGGGTATCTGGCCCGACCCGAGGGTTTCCTCTCGACAATGTTATCCAGATCGCAGTCGCGCATGCTTGTTTTCCCAGCGACTAGCATTTCGATCTGGATTAAGTTAAGTTACCTAGCTAGTGACGCCAGCAGCCACCCACCCAGCAACATTGGCGTACTAATCTACCCTATAACGTGCGATTTTGTTTAGTTAGTACTCAGCCAATCGTTTTTTTATAACGGAACACTGATCCTCAGCGAACCTGCACAGTATTTAAGAGAACCTCTAACCCTGCCTATGGGAGTCGGCTCGACCCGACCCGACCCGACCCGGCCCGGGGGCGGGTCAAGCCTGACCCGGCACCTGATACCCGGGTCGGGCCAGAGATCTTTGATGTTCCGACCCGACCCGACCCGACCCGGAACCCGGCTGGCCCGCCCAAGTCGGGTCGGGTCGGGTCGGGTCAGGCCATTTGATCATGCCTACCCCTAGCCGCCCTGTGAGACGACGCATTGACCCATGCACCGCATGCAATGCAATGTACCTGCTCCAGGCGCCAGCCAGAAGGCACCTCCCTGGGGTGCACCCGCACAGCCGTGGCCCTCTCCCCCATGCCCCTCGCCACCACGCTCCCCACCGTCCCCTCCCGGCGCCGGTGAGGAGGCTCGTCCAGCAACAGTGCTGCCTTGGGCGTTGCAGGTAGCGTGTCGTGTACTCTGGGGTGGGATGGGATGGGGTGGGATGGGATGGGGTGGGATGGGATGCGGTGGGATGGATTGACGCAGGCAGGGCAGGGCAGGGTAGGAGAAAGGGAAGAGAAGAAGAGGGAAAAGAGGGGAGGGTGAAACTTATGCATGCATGCCATACATAGAGAGCATGCTGTTCAAGGGAGGAGAAACATCATCACCCCCTCCCTGCGCCGGTGAACGGGCTCGTCCAGCAGCAGCGCTGCCTTGGGCAAGGCGGGCAGGGTGTTGTGCACAGTGGGGTGGGGTGGGATGGGATGGGATGGGATGGGATGGGATGGGATGGGATGGGATGGGATGGGATGGGATGGGATGGGATGGGATGGGATGGGATGGGATGGGATGGGATGGGATGGGATGGGATGGGATGGGATGGGATGGGATGGGATGGGTTGGGTTGGGATGGGTTGGGAGGGTTGAGATGGGGAAGCAGGGGCACGGCAGGGAAGGGAGGAAGGGTGAGGTGAGACGTAGGGCAGAGGCAAGTCGTCCAGCAGCAGCGCCGCCTTGGGCGTGGCGGGCGGGGTGTCGTGCACCCTGGGGTGACGTGGGATGGGGTGGGGCAGGGCAGGGCAGGGCAGGGCAGGGGAACAGGAGGCGATGGAAGGGTGTGGCTTAAGCATGCCATACATGGGGAACGGGGAGATAGATTTTCGAGAGGGGGGGAAAGGGAAAGGGGGGGAGGTATGTTAAAGTAGCAGACGAACGAAAAACCGCGGGAGGAGTGGCGAATGAGGTAAGCAAATAAAGAACCTACTAAAATATGACCTCTCTCTCCACAAGAAAACACCATCTGTCATGCCCTGCACCACTGACCCAAGATCCCATCCCAAAGCGCAGGGCATCTACGATACAAGATACCATCTACGCTTTACAATTTTCAGGCGCCTGAAACAAATGCACCTCCTATGCGCAAATAATATCTCACGTGGCAATCAAATCGAATCGGTCAGCCAAACCATAGGGCTGCATGAAGGCCAGCAGCACTGCCTGCCCCGGCAGGCACGCCACAGGTGCTCCCCCCGACTTGATCACACTGTATGTGTGTTGGGCGTCTAGACGAATCTGATGGGTAGAAGAGGAAGAATTGGCATGAATGGAGGAGAGTGAGGAGGGGAGACGAGGGGCTCGGCTCAAGATGTGATGTGCACTCACCTTCAACTACTCGCCATGGCGGCCCCCTTCCTACCCACTTTTGTTGTGCGCCCGCCTTCCCACCCCCTTCGTTACATCACACTGTACCTTTGCTGTGATCCGAGAGTGATGGAGAACGAAGGGAAAGGGTGGAAAGGACCTTGGGCCTGCATGCCGGATAGTTGAAAGCGCTGTTTGGTAACAGACATGAGCAGGGGGTAACTGGTGGAGGGCGCACCTGGTGGAGGGCGCACCTGGTGGAGGGCGGACTTGGAGACTCTGGAGGCGAAGTTGACGGCGCCTGAGGGGTCGCAGAGCAGCCAATCGAACGCCCTCTGCATGTCCCTGCGCGCCTGGTGGGGTGATGGCATAAGGGGGCCTTTGAGAGAATGAAAGGGAATGTGCGGGAACACCAGGGATTGAGAGAGAAGCAGAAAAAAGCACGAGAGAGCAAGAGGGAATGGTAGAACTAAAGGGAACAGGAAGAGAGAAATGGGGAAGGAGGGAGAGTGATGGAATCATAGAGCTTCTGACTTTTTCCTTGAAAGGATCAGGTGGAGACCAAGGGTGACGAAAGAACAAGTGAGAATGATGGAGGAAGAGGAGGGCACCTGAGCGTTGGCCTGGAGGGCACCTGAGCGTTGGCCTGGAGGGCACCTGAGCGTTGGCCTGGAGGGCACCTGAGCGTTGGCCTGGAGGGCACCTGAGCGTTGGCCTGGAGGGCACCTGAGCGTTGGCCTGGAGCGCGTTGGGGGAGCCATCGGGTGCGATGAGGAAGATGGGCTGCTGGAGGAGATCCGCGTTGCCTGCATGCACATGCACGTGCACATGGGGGAGAGGGAGGGTCGCGTGGTAGGGCATGGTGAATGGTGAGATGAGCACGCGGGCATGGCCAACGCATAGGACACATGTGCCATAGCATCAGTCGTACACATACCCATGGCATCCATGCCACATACCCATGGCATCCATGCCACATACCCATGGCATCCATGCCACATACCCATGGCATCCATGCCACATACCCATGGCATCCATGCCACATACTCATGGCATCCATGCCACATACCCATGGCATCGATGACACATCGGAAGATCTGGAATGCTGACATGGCAGGCATGACGCGGCGGTGGGGGTTGTGGGGCGACGCCAGGTGTGCTGCCAGCAGGGACAGCTGGAAGCCGTTCAGCCAATCAGCAGGCGCCACGTGGCGCTTGGTGCCGTAGCGCTGGCGAGCCCAGACCTAAGGGGCGATGAGCATGCGACACGTGGCACGACGGGTGGCAGGGGGATGGACAGAATGAGAGTGGGGAGGGAGGGAGGGAATGTGAGGGGAAGAAACACTGTTATGGTGGCACGGCGTAGCAGGCTCTATGAGTGATGACATGATATGATGAGTGGAGTGGAGTGGAGTGGGGTGGAGTGGAGTGGAGTGGAGTGGAGTGGAGTGGAGTGGAGTGGATGTCACCATTTACGCGCACCAGCGTGGCATGGCATGTGCAACGCATGAGGGGAGGGGGCGTGGGAGGCAGGTGAGGCACAAGCCGTACAGAGGCGATCCATCCATGTACGATTCACTCTTTTGACACGTCTCAATACTCAGTCGCCTTGAGCAGCATGAGAGCGTGGGGCAGCGGGCAGGCACGAGCTCCATGGTATGCGAGACAAGGTCACGAGGCGATGAGCGGTCGTGCATGGGCATGCAATGCAATGCAATGCATGCGCGTGCGCCGCCGGACGGACGCGAAAGGGGTATGCGCCACAGCCCAGCGTGCGGAATGCAATGCATGCGCGTCCTCCAGTGGGAGAGCAACTCTACAAAGGGGATCCATGTACGATTCAACCCCATGTCACCTTGAGCAGCACGAGCGCATGGGGCAGGGCGGGCACGAGCGCCATGGCATGCGACACGAGGTGATGAGCCGCTGTGTGAGCCGCATCCTCCAACACGCCCATGTTGTAGCGCGGTGTTGCCAGCAGCTCGCCCCCTGCCATGCCATGTGTGGGCGGGGCGGGGGGGGAGCATGGTAAGGGGCAGTGTGTGGGGTACATAGCGAACACATGCAAATGCAGCCATGGGAGGATGTGCATGCATAGCATGAACTCGAAGCAAGCAGTGCCACCTGTGGGAGCTATCCGTGTGTGGCATGCCATGCCAGCAGGTTGCAAGAAGCCCACCTGCAGAGGCGGCTTGGCGCACGTTGTTGCGTGAGGGGGCGAGCTTGCGGGCGGGGAAGGTGGCGGGGGACAGGCAGGGCAGCAGACGCAGAGGCCAGCTCTTGCACGCGCCTGTGAGGGAGAGAGGAGGGGAGGAGGGGTGTTTGGGGGAGGGGAGGAGTGGAGGGGAGGTGTGGAGGGGAAGGAGGAGAGGGGAGGGTGATTGGGGGAACGCATATGAGTGGAGGGTGACTGGGGGAAACGAGAAGAGGAGCTATTTTAGGAAGGCGGATGGGATTGACGAGGTGTCTCATGGCATGGCGTATTGAAGGGCCAGTCTTGGTAGCTACAATGGCGCATGCCTTGGCATGGCATGGCATGGTATGGTATGGTATGGTTTGTTATTACAACAGCATGGTATGGCATTACAACAGCATGGTATGTCACAGCAAGGCATGGGAATGAGCTTGCTCACGCGGGATGACAAGGAGACTTGCACATGGCATGGCATGGTATGACACTATATCAGGGCACGTCATGGCCCGCTATGGCAGGGCACGGCAAGGCACGGGAATGAGCTTGCTCACGCGGGATGACAAGGAGGATGGGCTTGCACACGTCATCCCTCAGAGTGCTCCACTCCACCGCCGCCACCCAATCGCACGCCGCCAGGTGGCGTGCCAGCGTGGCGAGGTACAGCGCCCGCCTGGCGAAGTAGCGGTGGTTCAGCACGTCCTTTTCCCGGAAGCACGCCTGCAGGGAAGGAAAGTGGGTGGCAAGGGCGAATGGGGCGATGAGGACCGAGGGGTGTGTGTGTGAGAGAACGAGTCCGCTTGCACAGAGCATGCGATATGACGGGCAGAATAGCGATGATTCCCCACCTCCATTTCTCAGAAGCACGCCTGCAGGGAAAGAGGGGGAGGGGGGAGGAGGGTGGGGGATGGAATGAAGCACACATGCAATGCAGGGGCATGGCACATTTATGGCGGCTTTTCCTAAGGAGAGGGCCTGCTTGACATGTGTGTCCATGGATTGTGGATGGAGGAGGTGTGAATAGAATTGGCAGACATCACATCACATCACATCACAGAACTTGAATTAGCATCGCCGTTGTTTCCAGAGGAGGCATCAGAGCACGCATGCGTGGCACACCAAACGCGTGCGTCGCCACGAAATCCATCTGCACCACACCAGACCCCTCAGCACCGCACCTGAGGCATCTCCACAGCCACGTCCACATGTGTGCACGGCCTCGTCACACTCCCCACGCCCGCTGCCCCGCCCTCTCCGCCCTCTCCCCCTTCACCACCATCACCGCCCCCGGGCAAGTGCCCATGCGCGTGCGAGTCGGTGTGTGATGCAGCGAGAGAGGTGACATGAGAGGCGGAGTGGTGGGCGAAGCTGCCGATGACATGCACGTGGGAGGGGCGGTGGAAGGTGAAGGCGAGGCTCCTCACGCCCTCCGCCCCCACCAGCGCCTGCACGTATGGCAGAGCCAAGTCCGCTGTCACCTGCAGTGATGCGGGGCGGTGTGGGAAAGGGGAAGGGTTGGGGGAGGGAGAGAGGGGGGGGGGGGGAGGGTTTATGGGGGTGGGGGGGCGGGTTTGTAGGGGTGGGGGGGAAGAGACACAAATAGCCACAGGAATGCACCATCACCATCAGCAGTATCACCACGAGCATCAGCATCAGCATCACCATGAGCATGAGCATGAGTATGAGCATGAGCATGAGCATGAGCATGAGCATCGCCGTGCTCAGTTGCCGTCTCCCCATCCCTGCTCCAACCCAACCACACTCAAACCTCCCCAACACTCTGCTCTGCCCCCAACACTCTGCTCTGCCCCCAACACTCTGCTCTGCCCCCAACACTCTGCTCTGCCCCCAACACTCTGCTCTGCCCCAACCCCCTCCCCGACCCGCCTGCCGCCTGACCCCTCACACGGCCGTGCTAGCCTACTATTCCAAACCCCGACCCCCCTGCCACCTGCTGCCGAACCCCTTACAGAACTCGTGACCCTCACATGCTACCCCCGGCCCGGCCATGGCTCTGATTTCAATTCAAATTATCCTGCTTACCACACATTGCAAAATCCCTACTCCCTGCCCACTATCCCGTGCTTCGAGCACCAGCCGTTGAGTTTGATCACTTCTTCTTAATGTGACATCAACAGCCGTCTTCACTCCCCACGCGACAAGGCACGACCACCCACACACACGCATCCCTCACACGGGCTTCCAGCCACCGTCGCTCACCTGCTCGCCCTCCGGCATGGCTCTAAGCGCTTCTCTTAGTTTCTCCACCGCGCCGTCCACAGCCACCACCACGCCCTTCCCTCTCTGCCTCACACCTGCGAGGTCCACATGCGCGTCCCTCAGCACCGCTTGCACCTGCCAGGAGGAGGAGGGGCAGTTGCAGGTGTGAGCACACAGGTGCAGGTGGTAACACACAGTTTCAGCCACAGTTAACATACGAGATTACTGGTGGTCTATCGCCCTTCCCTCGCTGCCTTGCAGCTGCGAGGTCCACGTGGGCGTACCTCAGCACTGCTCGTACCTGCCGAGAGGAGGAGCAGGAGGAGGAGCAGGAGCGGCAGCAGCAGCAGCAGCAGCGGCAATGGCCAAGGGACACACAGACAGAGGCAGAGCGCGTGAGGCCCAGTTCAGCACGACCGCGGCTGCTTGCATGACAGCCTTTTGCGACAGAATCTTACGATACAAGGAAAGGCGAAACGGTGACATAATCCTGGGTTAAGGGGCCGAATACAGGGTTGAACCCAGGGTTCAGGTTTTAAGAAGGAAAAAGCTGGGTTTAGAGGCGATCAAGCTAATTAAAAACAAGTCGAAGCGTTTCGGAGAGGCAACGCTTTGCGTGCCTTTCACGGGGGTTAAGAATAAAGCGACTGGTATTCGGAATTGGAAAGAGGACGATTTCGAGTGGACGAGGCGAGTATCTAAGAGGTGTGGGGACGACGAGGCGGCGAATGCGTGTTGCCGCAGGCTGAGCGGTGACGCGCTTCGACGGGTCGAAGTCGACGCTTCAAAGAGCGTGCGAACCACACGAATTTCCGTGCGCGAACGAGGCGAGGGGGAGGTGGGAGATGCAGTGGGAGGAGGGCGGGGAAAGGGCCGCGTGCGCCCGCTGGGGGCGGGAAAAGGGCGGCACCTGGTATTCTAGCAGCGAGGACCCTGCAGTGGCCGCCGCCATTGCTCCGCCACCCACCACAACCGCTGCGCGCCCGCCCCGCTTCACCAGTGCGGGGACCTTCTCCTCCCCGCCCTTCTTCCGCGCGCCTGGCACCTGCTTCCGCTTTCGCGAACCCCCGGCCCCGATTCCCGCGGCCCCTGTGCTCGCATCTACGTCTACTTTCGCCTCCCCTTCCTCCGCGTCGCCGGCGCGCGTCCGCTGGTCCTCCATCGCGAGCGGAGCTGCCTTTTTAGTCCGCGAGGCGCGAAGGAAGTAGCGACGTGAATCGGTATAGCGCGAATCCTGTGAGAGTCTGGCCCGCAGCAAGACCTAATCGGCCGCTTCCACCAGCGGATCGCTTGAGAAATCTACTTGAAGCCGAGCTCTCAAGACACGGTTTGGAGGATACAGGCAATCCCCCACTGCTTGATCACCTGCTTCGACAGTAAATTTCCTCGAGTCTCCTCACAACATCCATCTTAGAAACAGTTACCGCGGAAGTCACACAAAAATGTTATTCA